CCCTTATTTTTTGAAGTGTAAATGTTGTGCACTCATTAGCTGAAACAAGTATCTCGTTATAGGTAGCTAGGTAAATGTTAACTTCCAAGCTTTGGAGAACAAAAGACCAGCATTAAATTATGCTGAGGCAAAAGATGCTACCCAAGTGGGGACATGCCAGGGTAGATTTGATTTAAATCACAATTTAATTTTTTTAAAAGTGTGTGCGTGCGTGTGTGTGTGTGCGTGTGTGCGTGCGCGCGCATGCGCGTTTTGGACAATTAAAATAATTTCCCCCCATTTAAACTGTGATTCAAATCAATTTGGTTTTTTAAAAAAATCACAGATTTTTATCCACCCTGGATATGACATTTCCCCATGCTCAGTGATTCTGCTGTAATCTTTGTTTTATATATATATAAATATAACATTCTTGCGAGACAAAGTGGGATAGAAATATTCCGAATAAAGTACGTACAGGCATAACCAGAAAAAGTGAGGTGACACCAGTCTTGATAACTTATCTCAGTCAGTTTTAAACCACAGGCTGGACATTTTGACTACATTGCCCATGATGGCTGGAATGTTCTTGGAGTTAACTGTCTTTGTTATGTCTCTGTGTTTTTTCTTTTTAAAATCCAAACTGTTCAAAACAGGGTAATAAGAACCCAGACTCTTCAAGTGGAGTAGAAACCCTTCGAAAATACATTGGAGTAGAAATACTTACCTTGCTACTAGTGGAATTCCCAGGAGCTTAATCGATGTTTTCCATTTCCCGTTTTGTCTCTGAGGGGATTGTGTAACGTAAATTCTGTCATCAAGGCCAAACTTTTTGCAATCTCAGTAGTATAGAAGGTGCTGAGAAATATTCTTCCCTTTTTTCCTACAAGCAGTGGGCTTGTCTAGAAAAAAAAAAGTACAGTCTTGGCAAAAATTTCTCTTTCTGTCCTTTGTCTTCCTCCTCTTTGCGTTGAACACTCCAGTCTAGTAAAATATTGGGTACCGAACTAAAGTTCTGTTTTTGGTTTTTTGAAAGTTTGGCTGACTCAAGAAAAAACACTGCACCATTCCCTCTGCTCATGTACAAACATCCATTTTAAATCTTGTTTGTGGGCTGGATAGCTTTTGGGGCAAGATTCCATTTTTCTTGGTCCACAGGTTAAGGCTGCTAGACCTCTCTGAGGTATGAAGCCTGCCTGGGTGGCTTCATTCTATTAGCCAGCCTCAGTGATCTTTGGGAAAGACCCTTCTCTCGATCCTGTCCCCCACAGAACCACTAAGATGGCCACAAGAGATGGAGAGGGTCTTTTTGGTGGTGGCTCCACAGATACCACCATGATGTTGAGTTTCATCCCGGTTTGTTTTGTGTTTACTCTTCGATGGCCAGAATTCTAAAGTCATGCCTGCCGGCGTAACGCCGTCAGTGGTGAATCTCAGCTGTGGGGTTCTGGAAAGTGAAGAAATATAGTGTCGGTGTTTTGCCATCCACACAGCAGTTGTGATGCATAAGCGGTGCATGCCTTTGATGACATCTTACCTTAAGGACAATCTGCAGCTGAAATTCATGCTCAGGGTATAATCGTTCAGCTGGATTTTGGCCAACATATTGCATTTTTATCTGTCCCTGTTTTGAATCTTATTAGCTGCCTTGCGTCCCAGTTTTGGAAGAAAAGCGAAATGCAGGTCCAACAAAGATATGCAGTGGGGTGTTCTAGACCACTGGTTCTTAACCTTGGGTTACTCAGGAGTTTTAGACTGCAACTCCCAGAAGCCTTCACCACCAACTGTCCTGACTGGGGTTTCTGGGAGTTGCAGTTCAAAAGCATCCGAGTAACAAAGGTTAAGAACCACTGTTCTAGACTCTCTCTCTCTCTCTCTCTCTCTCTCTCTGTGTGTGTTTAAATATATATAGGTCAAAGGGAACCTACCCAACAGGTTTTGCAGGTGCCCAGGTGAGCCAGGTGAGGGCTGTGGAGCATGTTCCAAAACACTGTTCATGGGCAGGTGTTCCTTGTCAGGTGTTGAGAATCCTTTGGCAGGCAAATTAGTGTGGAAGGGTGTTCCCTGAAGACAGAAAAAAAAGAAAAGAAATCTAATTGGTATGTTCAGGTTTGAAAGTAAGAGATCTGATTTATTCAAAGTCTGGTTTATCCAGGCTTGCTTAATGGCAAGTCATGATCGGATCTCTATCTTAACCTATCTATCCCGTGTGGTTCTATGAGAGGTAGATTAAAAACCTTCCTTGCGCAGATTTGTGGTTCCGATGGACAACAGAACCCTCTCTGCTAGAATAGTTTCTGTATAAATATATGTTATAGTTTCATATATAAATATGTTACTTGCCGCTTATGTTCTATTAATGTCAGTGAAAACTACTTTACAGCCACAAGTGTTCAGTTCAAAGTCCAAGAAAAAGTCTCTGTCTTGCTCTAGTTGGCTCAGAGATTACCAGCCTAGATAAAAATGGACTCTCATAAGAGTAGGGATCATGATAACCACTAGTAATGACAAAGTATAGTTATGTGAAGTCTCAAATGCAATCCCTCAAGAATCCACATACACATGAGGTTCTATCAGGCTAACTGCAAATTTGACATAGTTTTCAAGTGGTTGTAATAAAAATTAATTTCAAGCGATAGGAACCGTCCTGTTTGTGCCTCTCTGTCTTCTCTAACAACCTTGGGTCTCCAGATGTTCTTGGACTAAAACTCCCGGAAGCCTTCACCACTAGCTGTGCTAGCCAGGATTTTCTGGGAGCAGTAGTTCAAGAACATCTGGGGGGCCAGACTGCTGTTCTATAAGAACAAAAGGGAAGGTATGTCATCTGTGTGACTAGAGACACCGATTTGGCTGGATAGCTCAGTGAGGAAGGCCAGAGGTTGGGAGTTCAATTCCCCACTGTGCCTCCTATGTGTAGAACTAGCTTGAGTTGCCTTGGGCAAGATGCACAGTCCCAGGACATCCCAGAAGTTGGCAATGATAGTTGAGTACCCTACCTAGAAGACCCTGAAAGGGATTGACGTAAATCAGAATTGATGTGACAGCACACTTATTGTTTCGAATGCACTGCCATACATATTTGCAAGACTGTGAAATCTGAAATGTAGCATTAAATACCAAGGGAGTGTTGAAACTATGCCCCTCTGAGGTTTTTCATTTGTTTGTTATTAAGAGAAACTGATGAATTTTAGTTAGTTGCGATATTTTGGTAGCTTGCAGTACCGTTTGCAGATTTTAGGTGCTGGACCTTCTCAATTCAGGAAGAGCAGCAGCAGCAGGCCTGGTGGCTTGCCTCGTGGTGCTTCTCTGCACAGGGTCTCCCAAACCAGTGGTCCATAACTTTGGGCCTCCAGATGTTCTTGGACTACAAGTCCCAGGAGCCTTCACCACCACCTTTGCTGGCCAGGATTTCTGGCAGTTGAAGCCCAAGAATATCTGGAGACCCAAGGTTGGGGAACCACTGCCCCAAAGTGTCCGATAGGTCAGAGACAAGGAGTGCTGCTCTTTGATAGTGGGAGGGAAAAAGATGAGAATAATCACGGAGAAAGTCTGATTGAGGATTGAAGTTGAGGGAGAGAAGGGACTAGGGAGAAAAAGGAGGAGGGGTTGGAGTTAAGGAGAGAGAAGGAGCAAATACCAGCATGTTGGGGGGTGTTATTAACTTGTATGTAGCTTGTGCTTCTGTTATTGCTAATTAAGAAAATGAGATAGCTGCTCTGTGAAATGAGAGAAATATTTGTCTATTGCTTCTATGGGTCCTAATTTTCATTAGTTTATTTTATTTTTAGTATAACCTAGCTGCATGGAAGTTTCTAGAGTACATGAAAGTTTGATTACTCTTATGGTATTTTGGTTGATCCACAGGAAGAACTGTTGATTTTTGTTTTAGTTGTGTGGTTGTTCTTTTTTTTTTTTTAAATAGTGTTTAACTGTGGTTGTGGTCTGGTTTAGTTCTACCACTGAATACTCACTCCAACATACCTCTTTGGGTGAAAAGTATGACATAGATTTAGTAAGCAAATGAAAAACTCTCTCTCATTGCTTTCTAGTACGCTGATAAATGAGTCTGCCTTGGTGGATGCAGTGGGGGTAGGAAGTCCATAAGATTCAAAAACGTATTTTTCATGGAGGGCCTGGCATGCTCTGGTCCATGGGGTCACGAAGAGTCGGACACGACTAAACGACGACGAAAGAGTTCTTTAAGGCCATGATGGGTGCATTTTTCACTTCTGGGTGGTGTTGGGTAATATAGTTAGGGAAAGATGCCATTAATTTAATAAGATGATCAGATCTTAAGTGTTTGTAGCACCTACCATAATACCTGTCCGTGGTATCATCAGAATAATAGCTGGTGGCCAGAATCTTAGCCTAGGAGTCATCGTTTATTTTGGCCCTGTTGAATCTGACCATGGAGAAACCTTTGAATTTTCCACCGTTCTTCCCGGATTCCTTGAGACTGAGCTAAGAATTGGCCTAAAGCCAACATCCTGTCCTAAATCCAGTTAGAAGTCCTGACTAGAGTAGACTCATTAAGTTGGTTCCTCATTGCTTAGCTAATGCTTGTGTAAATCCCCCTGATTCAAATTGGATTCTACTTTGGTTGGAACTTGCACTATGATTTAGGCTCAACTGTTGATATTTTGAACTGCCAAAATATGTGCAGCGTCCAACCCTTTGTTTTACAGTCGTATCATTGTTTAAGATGTGAAAGTGAAAACTTGCAGGGGTTAGGGGGTCCCTTGAACCAGAGGAAATTATCAATTTGTAAGATTAAATTTGGACGTCAGCTGTTAGTAATCATATGAGCTCGAATTTTGTTATCTACCTATGTAACTTAATGACATGGATGATGCTGTAAACAGTCAAGATAATACAAACTTGGCTTATTTAATAGCATTCTTAACTTGGAGTCTAGGAAGAGGCAAAGAAGAGATTGAAAGATGAGCGGTCTCTTACTGCTGCAAGTTCTGGGAGTGTCGTGTTTTCATAAAGTTGATCTATTTCTGCTTGATCTTCAACAGGCCTACAGAAAATGACGGAGTACAAGCTTGTTGTTGTGGGCGCTGGTGGCGTAGGCAAGAGCGCTTTGACGATACAGCTTATTCAGAATCATTTTGTAGATGAATACGATCCTACAATAGAGGTAAATGATTTTCTATACAGTGTGTCTTGTGTGTTCTCGAAGGTGGCCTTCGATCTCCAGAAACAGAAGCAGACCTTTTAATTTCGGAGGATTGGGACAGTGGTTACAGCTGTTCCCAGTGTGATGCAGTGGTTAGGGCGTTGGGTTGGGACCGGAAAGGTCCAGATTATTTTCTGAATGACTCTAGTCCAGTTGTGTTCTGGCCTAACCTCCAAGGGTTCCTGTAAATTTGAAGTGGAGAAGAGAAAGGGAATACACGCTGCCTGAAACCATTTAGAGGAAAGGTGGGATACACCCCTGACTAACTGTATTCTGACAAAAATGTTAGTATTTTTAAATATTTTTTTAAAAAAGACAAGAGTATGGAGATTATATTGTCTTGACATAACCTCCCCTCATGGTCAGCTAGAGTTGAACGAATGGCAATCATAAATCATTTGTAAATTATTCCTGAGTTCAGAGCAGAGGTAGTAGCCCTTACATCAAGAAGATAGTACATGGAAATCAAGGGGAATTATTCCCCCCCCCAGGGGGAGGGGAAATCAAGAAAAAGTGATTTGGGATTTCCTTGCCATTCAAGTCTGCTTAGAAAAAAGAAAACCAATTGTTATTCCTAGACGTATTTCTGTTGTTTGAAAACCTTACCTATCCTGCTTAGTCACTCTGTTAATATCTGATAAGGGCTATACTCCACCTCCCAAATAAAACATTCAGATTTTTAACAACATTTTGACAACAGCCTACTCAGATCTTTCTGGGAGTTCAGCCTGACTCATGGGATGAATTAAGCTCCCAAGAAATCCAAGTACAGGTTGTCAGTGGTAGCATATGAAGCTGGTTCCTTTGAGTGGTCCAACATGAATCCCTGGGTCATACTGTGAAGAAGAGATGGTCTTTCTTTGCCCCAAGTCCCCTTCTGCGCTTACAACATCCTACCAGTTCCAAGTTGATGTATATACTTCTTGGGTGTTGAATATCTCCAGAGTGGAAGGATTAGAGCTAAGTTGAATCCCAAACATTATCTCATAACCTTTAGAAGTCAGCTCCCCTGTTTAGTAAAATGTTCATCTCCTTCTTCAAACTCAATTGATAATTTTATTGAAAGTTTGACATGTTGACCAGAAGCAAGGTGGATAAAAATCTATGGTTTAAAAAAAATCAGATTGATTTAAAACACGATTTAAATCTAAAAAACTCATTTAAAAAATTTATATGTGAGTTGGACTGGAAGACCTCCAAAGTCCCTTCCAACCCTATGATGATTCTATGTCATTAAAAATCATATTTTAAAAAATGTAAATCATTAAAAAAAATCAGATTTTAAAAATGTTAATGGTGATTTAAATAATTATTTTAAATCAGTTTGATTTAAATCAAATCCACCCTAATTCCAGAAGCCCTATTAGTGGTCAGGTAAGGTTTGTGAAACTTTCAGTGGCTAATTGTGGCTAATGGACGAGGTGCCAGGTGCATCTAGGTTGTGGGACAGGCACACGAGAGACAGACACAGGTACCTCGTCAAATAGCCATGACCATTACTTCAAACTTATGTGAATACCAGTGGGATTCTGACCATTTTGATTACAGAAAAGTTTAGACATTTATAAATTTGGAAAACATTGATGGGATAGGAAAGGATAGTTTTCCTGGGGGAGTGACAGATTTGATGTGAGGAGCTTTAACAGATGACTGCAACACCCACATATAGCAAACGACACTAGACCATAACTGTAAGATGCATAACGAAGGATAAAAGAAATAGGGTTCAATACGTACAATTGGGTTTTCCCATGCCCCTTGCAAATAAAAGAAACACATGTTCCTTTAAATGGAAATCCTGATGTGGCCACTTTTAGGGGTGTGTGGTCATTTGTTGAGCATCTTTGATCAAGGGCAGAGGTGGGCAACCTCCAGAGGTCCCAGGGTTGCAAATGCCCATTGGCGAACCTGTGAAACCAACCTCCCAAATTTTCATATAAATTAAAAAAAATACTGAGAAAGCTCTCCTGGGCCCTCTAGTGGACAAATTTTTATTAAAAATTGAAAACTTTTTGGGCTTTGGGTTGCTCTGCATGTGCTGGAGTCCCCTCAAACCAAGGCAAAATTGCCCCCACGTCATCTGAAGGCACAGTGGCTATTTTTGATCACTGCTTTTTTTCTCTCAGTGTTCGAATTTTCCAGTCTGGTCTTATGGGGGTTCCTGAGCAGCCCAGGAGTGTTTGGAGGGGAAGAACCACGAAACCCATCCTACTCTAGAACAATATGCAACTGCAGGGATAATTTGTATGAATGTCCAAAGTCGAATCCAAGTTTGTGCAACCTGTCCCAGCTAACGGTGGCCAATCCGAGACACGCTAGGGCATATCTTAATTGTCCAAGATGCATCCCAGAACTTCATTAACCATTCTATGAACGGGCCACAAGATTCTAGCCAGTGATTTTAGGTCTCCCCTGTTTCTGATTTGTCCCGTGATGTCGTTCTGGAACTGCTGTAGCATCGTACAGGCAAGAGCTGATTTCCTGCTGAATTGGCGATGACTCACTTCAGTCTCAAGTTATGAGTCAGCAACTTTTACAAGGCAAGATCTTTGTTAAGAGGCTGCAGTGTAAACTGGGAAGTCCTGTGTTCTGAAGTCAGTAGGTGAATGTGGGCAAAACAGACGTCCCCCACCCCTGAACCAGAGAGTTTCCAGCAACCGATACCTGCCTAATTGTAAAGGTCGCTGACCAATTCACAAGCGTTTGCCTTGAGATAAAAGAAGAAATAAAGAAACCTTACTTTTCCTGATACCAGAGATTTTATGATCTTCCAAATCGCCTTTAGCTGGAAGAGTAAACAGTGCGGTCTGGATGACCTAATCATTATGTGACTTCGAAAATGTCCCACAAACCGTTCTTTATCACCTCAGAATGAGATTGGTGTTTATGTGTGGCAATAAAGATCCATTAGTTCAATCAGTAAGCTATTTAAGGCTGTAGCACTTTCTTTCAGATTGATAACTTCGTCATCTGTTGAGAATTTGGTTAAACTTTTTCTCTTTGGATATAAGCAGAGTTAGGATATATCAGATTGCAAAGACTCTATAAGACTGAGAGAGTAAAATTCAACATATTATATTTAAACATATACAGAGAGCATAGATTTCAGACATTCAGCTGGCAGCATAACACGACATGATACAATACGTAGTATAGAAATAAATGATCTGACTTACAGCAGATACCATGTCCTTTATACATCCAGGGATGAATCAGAAAATACATAACATCACTTTTTCCAGCTATACAACATCAAGTCTTTAACCTTAGTACACACCTGAATCTACTTAGCACATGACTCAGGTTAAATCAGCCATTTTACTTTCTACTATACAACATTTTATTTATATTTAATACATTTTCAGATCAAAATCTCAAGGCTCTTCACTATTATAGATTTTCTTGTCTTCCCTCTGTTTCTGAAATCATCCCTCTACTTCCCAGGTCATAAACGGGGATTTTTTCCTATTTCATCCTCCCAACAGCCATGCAAGGTTGTGCAGGTCTCATTAGTTATGACAATCTCCCAGTGTGAGGATCATTACATTCTAATCTCTTTTAAAAATAAATCAGTTCTTGAACAAAAATATCTTGAGTCCACACAAATTTGAAAGCAGACATCACATGGGATGAAAAAAATGCTATTGATTTCTTGTTTATTCCGTACATTTCAACTTGGTTTATTTTCTTTCCAAAAGTACTACCCTTCTCTTTTAATCTGGCTTTTTTTCTATCCTGTTCATAGCAAACCCCCCCAGAAAGCAGCCTATTGCAAACAAGTGCCTTCCAGCTGTGTAGGACTATAGTTTCCATCATGTCCAGGCAGGAGAAGGTCATTCAAAGCTAATGAATTGAACAGCTCCCTGATCTGAGAAGCCTAGCGCTAGGATAAGCGAACAAGTTTAACCAATTAAGAACACTTTGTTTATAATATCTGTTTCGACAGTCAGGATGCTCTTAATAATAACAACAACAACAACAATAATAATGTGCCATCAAGTTAATTCTGACTGGTGACCCTTTCCAGGGTTTTCCAGGTAGCCAATTCAGGATGCTCTTAATAATAACAACAACAATAATAAAGTGCCATCAAGTTAATTTTGACTGATGGTTACCCTTTCCAGGATTTTCCAGGTAGGCAATATATAGAAGTGGTTTACGGTTCCCTTCCTCTAGGGGGAGCCCTGGGACTGTGCAGCTGGCCCAAAACCACCCAGGCTGGTTTTTACTTATAGGAGGCGCAGTGAGGAATCAAATCCACAACCTTTGGCCCCACAGCCAGACCACTTCGGCCGCCCGAAAAAGTGGGTGAGGCAGCTTGAATCCAAGCACAGAGATATGGCTCGATCTACGGTAGCGTCCTCTAGTGGTCAAAGCAGCAACCTGCTATGTCCTCACCCTGTAGGATGGGTTTTAGCCCACTGGTTTGGGATGCATCGTACAGGGTTCATCCTAAGCAATGGGATAGGATGTGTATCCTATCGTTTCCTCAATTAACTGGCCTGATTTGGGCTTCTTGAAAACAAGAAAGGAAAAGAGCAAGGCAGAATCGAACAGGAACTTGGCCTACCTTTTAAAAATACTGTATTTTTCCATGTATAAAACTATTTTGCCTAAAATCTTCAGACTAAAAATTGAGGGTCGTCTTATACACGGAAGTAAGCTGAGGAGAGAACAAAAACAAGTGGAGGGGGAAGCAGGGATCAAAGCGATCCTGCAGCGCTTTGATCCCTTTCCCCTACATTTGCTAAGCCCCACTTATTTTTCTTAATTTTGGATTAGAAAAGGGGGCGTCTTATACACAGAAAAATATGGTAGATTTGAAGGGGGGAACTTGGCCTACCTTTTAAAAATACTGTATTTTTCCATGTATAAAACTATTTTGCCTAAAATCTTCAGACTAAAAATTGAGGGTCGTCTTATACACGGAAGTAAGCTGAGGAGAGAACAAAAACAAGTGGAGGGGGAAGCAGGGATCAAAGCGATCCTGCAGCGCTTTGATCCCTTTCCCCTACATTTGCTAAGCCCCACTTATTTTTCTTAATTTTGGATTAGAAAAGGGGGCGTCTTATACACAGAAAAATATGGTAGATTTGAAGGGGCCTCTACAACAGCCTTGTGCTGCAGGATGGGGACCCCCTTTATCTTCCACTTGTATGTTCATGGAAAAGGCTTCAGGAGTTAACCTCGAGGCAAAATCCGGAGCTGGAGTCCCGAAGGCAGCATGTGTCGTGTGGAGAGGGGGGGATCTGCTGCTTGGGTAACAGCCTATCCTCCATATTACCTTACCCGGGCTTCATGCTCTGGAGACCTCTACAACAGCCTTGTGCTGCAGGATGAGGACCCCCTTTATCTTCCTCTTGTACGATCAGGATTGTATCTTGAGACTGAAGGATGCCTATATATGATCAGGATTGTATCTTCCTTGTATGATCAGGATTTTCTGAGCCTGGGCAGCTGTTGTTTGGGAGCCTAGGAGGTGTTCAGGTGAAGCCAGGGCTCCCTGATGGCCCGGTCTTGACAACAGGTGAGTCCAAGGTATAAAAAGGAGACCAGGGGCTGGAGTCTGATGGAGCAGCGGCAGGAGAGCCCGAAAGGGAGCGATTCCTGTTCCCCGCTTCGGCAGGTGCCATATTTGCCACAAAGAGGCTTCACAAACCCCCAAAAGAGGAGAGAAAGAGCTGGCCTGGGGTCGGGGAAAAAGCAGGAATTGTGATCCTTCCTAGGAGAGAAGTCAAGACTTTGTCAGGCGATGGGTGAAGTGAAGCATTGATTCAGTCCAAAAGACGACAACCAAAGACCACTCCACTAAGTTCTTGCATGTAGTGGGTACACAAAAGTGGGTACAGCCCGGAGCTTATAATTCGAGGATGAGGGTGCATGATGCCAAGGGAGAGAACAGACCATAGGTGTCTCTGGAGACTGGCTTCCCGGAGCGAAGTTGGGAGATGCCAAGTCTCAGTTAAAAGGCAGATGTCTAACTTTGCTTTTCTTTAGTCCACACCATATCTGTTTTCACAAATTAACACTGCACAAGATAAACAGAGTTGGAGCACAGAAGTGGATGTTTCTTGCAGGCTCCTGTTTCTAGTCTGGGTGAAGGTGGTTCTGTGAGGGAGACTGGGGCAGGATGTTCCAATAAGCTGAGTTTCCCCCCCCCCCCAAGAGTTTAAGCGTTGGTTGATAGGTGTTTCCAAACTGTACTTCTGTACCTTTAATAATAAATAATATAATGACTGTTGAACGGCAGAGGTGGAAGGGACCTTATGGATTATCATGTCCAGTCTCTCTCAAAGAGGCACCCTGGGGAATTGAACTCCCAACCTCTGGCTCCACATGCAAAACCTAAGCCATTGTGCTATATAGCATTCCTGGGATTTACCCTATTTGCATTCTTTCTCTGTGGAGAAAAGCTTGGGCAGGGGAAGATTTTAAGCCAGACCCCAGAACGATGCTCTAACTGGACAAGAATTAGACAAAGGAAGGACGGATGGGTTTCTCTGTGGCTATTAGCCATGGTATTTAAATAGAGCCTCCCCATTCAGTTGCAGTGTAGCTTTGAATATTGGATACTGAATCCAGCAGTGAGGCTGGTGGGTTTTGTTGTTGTTCCTTTCTTGCAAGGAATCGAGAGGTGCTTGGTATACAGCTGTTGATACCAGGGTGCTAAATTTGATGACTTCAGTCTTAACCAGGCAGAGTTCTTAAGAGACAGGAAAGGGGGACTTTTTGGTCTAATCAAGCAGAATTTCCTGATCTCAATTTCCGTCGTTTAAAAATATCATTCCAGGAATGATAAACGGGCACAGCTTTCTTGTCTCCTGATTCCTGCGTAACTTTAGAAATTTAACCGCCTGGATCAGGGTATTCGAAAGGAGACAGATGACGTCACGCCTTTGAAACGCGCAAATCATTTTTTGTAGATGTGTTGTCGTTGAGAGGGCTCGGGAATCTTGGCGTTGCCGTCCTGATCCATTTGCTCTCTAGTTTTATATAATTGTCGCTCTGTTTGGGTTATGTAACCAAAATGCTTTCAGTGGGAAGAAAGCAGAATTTAAAATGCAGTGTTTTGCTGAACTCCTGGCGCAGCTGTGGGAGGAGAAGGAGCTGGGATGGCCACATATTCCCCCGTTGGATGAGATACCATTTAAATTCACTCCATGAAAAAACATATCTGTGGGGGAGAGAAAAAGGGATTTGCTTTACCCATTGCAAGTAGTACAAGAAAGTAAAGGGGGAAGCCGGGCAATGCTTGGTTGGGACAACTCCTGGCACATGGAGAACAATGCAAATAGCAGCAACCACAGTAGGAACTGGCAACGCCTCTTCTTCTTCTTCATGGGCATTAGCGGTGATTTCTCCTCCGATTAAGATCCTCAGGAGAGGCCTTTTTCTGGGTCCCGCCACCTTCATAGGTGCATCTGATGGGGAGACAGGAGAGGGCCTTCTTTGTGGCTGCTCCCAGACTCTGGAACTCCTTCCCACTGGGAGCCGGACTAACCCCATCTTGGCTGTCCTTCCGCAAGCGGGCAAAGACTTTTCCTTCAGACTGGCTTTCCCTGAGTGACTGGCTGTCTACAAGGGGTTTCTAAAATAGATTATTGTACCTTGTTGCTTTTCAGTGTGTTTTCTGTATTGATTTTATTCCCCATTTTTTTAATATACTTGCTTCATTTTCTTCCATGGTTTATATATTTACTGTTTTTAGCTTTTAAATATTGTCCTTTTAAGGATGCAAGCTGCCTTGGGTCCTTTTTGAAAAAATAATAATAAATGAATTATTTGGCACTCAGACCCAGTGCTGCTTCTAGTATTACAACCTCCAAAAGCAAACCTGGCTCTAGGACAGATGGGTCCAGAATTATCTTATAGATAATGCGTTCTTTAACCCTAAAAAAAAGAGGAGGTGTTGGGAATGAGGGTTTTGTAATTTTAAGACTTTTCAGTCCTAGAAATCATTTAAAATTCCCGAGGAAGACTTTGGGGATATTTTTCTACCTCCATATTGTGCCTCTGGCTGGTCAGAAGAAGGGAAGGGCCCCTCAGCCATACTTCTTTCTTAGAATTGCCCCACAGGTCTATGGGTAGGGAGGGTACCCTTGCAATCCATTAGATTCCATAGACCAGTGGTTCCCAACCTTGGGTAACCCAGATGTTCTTGGACTACAACTCCCATAAATCCTGGCCAGCACAGTTGAAGGCTTTTGGGAGTTGTAGTCCAAGGACATCTGAGGACCCAAGGTTGGGAACCACTGCCATAGAGGGAGCCTTACATTGAATTAGCCTCCCAGCAAAATAGCATGAATGAGGGGTGATTCCTTTTCTTCCCCCAGCAGAACCACATCAGACGAGGGTTGGAGAAACACATCTCCTTCTGCCTTGTAGCTTTTCCTTTCCCAGAAGTCTTTCTGGGCAGATTCTATGCAACATCTGGACTGCCCAAGAGTGTGTGACAAGTTCAAGGTCACCCAGGGAGCTTCGTGGCCAAGTAGGGATTTGAACCTGGGGCTCCCGTCCAGCACGCTTAACCATTACATCACACCGGCTCTCTGCGATGTGCTTGGGGATATTATGGAAGCCACAACAGGATCTTGAGTTTTGGTCTTTCGATTTGACCGTTCTGCCAGATAATGGAGTTTAAGAGGAAACTTGTCATTTGGAAGATGGAACTGTTGTTTCCTGAATGATTTGACAAATGAAACTAAAACAACAACAACACACACAGCACAGTGGCCCTCTCTAGTGTGGGTTAGGCACAACTTTATGGTCTAACTTGGCCCTCTCTAGTGTGGGTTAGGCACAACCTTATGGGCTAATACCATCATTGAGGCATTGCTGGATCACCACCTTCTGATCTTCCAACATTTAACGGCATTGCTGGATCACCACCTTCTGATCTTTCAACATGCTCTTCTTGCCCGCAAGCCTTTACCTTTTCTATGTGATGGATGCTTATCCATTTACAGCATCAGTGCCAGGAATTTGAAACTCGGTTCCCACATGCAGTCAATAGTGTGTGTTTTTTTTTCTCTCCCTCCCCGCAATCTGCCTCAGGATTCCTACCGAAAACAAGTCGTGATAGATGGCGAGACCTGTCTTCTGGACATTCTGGACACCGCGGGTCAGGAAGAGTACAGCGCCATGCGAGACCAGTATATGAGGACGGGCGAGGGCTTTTTATGCGTATTTGCTATAAATAACACAAAATCTTTCGAAGACATTCATCATTATAGGTAAGCTTCACGCGGTGCCTCCTGACTCCACTCTGAAACCCCATGCCATGCTATAAATAACACAAAATCTTTCGAAGATATTCATCATTATAGGTAAGCTTCATGCGGTGCCTCCTGACTCTATTCTGCAACCCCATGCCAAGTTCGTCTGTAATTCCTCCAACCTGAGGGGGGGGTCTGTGGTTCACACGGGATGGGCGCCTCACTCCACAAATGGTGGAATGAATCCAACCCTACCCTCTGGTTTGGATCAGGAGCTGCTAGTGCGTCTTCCTCCAACCTGAGGGGGGGGGGGTCTGTGGTCCACACGGGGTGGGCGCCTCCAAAAATGGTGGAATGAATCCAACCCTTCCCTCTGGTTTGGATCAGGAACTACTAGTGCGGCTGACTAAAGGCCTGCTCTGTCTCCGTAGGAGAATCAGATGGTCCAATCCTCAGCTGGTAGATTGGACTAACACCAACTCAAGATTAGTGTGGTGGAGTGGTTAGAGTACCATAGTACAATTTGGGAAATCAAGGGTGTAGACCTCAGTGAGTAACTGGGTCAGCCCATGTGTTTCAGTGTTGTTGAGAGGTTAAAACTGGGGAAGGGGAAACTCGTGTACGCTGCCTTAAACTCATTTGAAGGAAAAGAAGGGGTTATTAGGCAATAAATAAAATAAGACGTAGGTGAGGGAGAAATGAGTAGATAAATAAATGTTCTCCCATGTTTAAAAAGATCACAACACTCTAAAAGGTGGTGAGATTAGTACCTCAGAGACTAAAGTCCTGTTACCTGCTCTGGTGGTTTTCCCAGTGCCAAGAAGTTTTGTTTTAAGGCTGATGAGTATTTTAGAAAATGGCTGATACAGTTGATGGAAATTGTCTTAGAAATAAACTAGGATATCATACTGGTTTATTATCTCACCACGGTTAGAACAAGCCACTATTCCTTAGGTCAGGAAGGGATGCAGAACTGGGCTGAGAACATAAGGCAGGCATCTAGAACATTCTTCTTTCCACATGATGGAAGGGAAGGGGTGACTCTGAAGCCGGTTCTAAGAAGGACACATGATCATTTGCTGGGAAGTTTCGATGCACCCAAATAACTCTGGAACCATAAAGAGCCCGCACTGAGACTCGTGGGGATAAAATTGTGGAGTCACTAAAAACATTTCAGTTCTAGTAGGTATGCATACATTGGTACCGTATTTTAGTAGTAACAACAACAACTATAAGTTTTTTGGAGCCCAGAAATTGAGCCCCCGAACCTCTATCGCGCTGGGGAAAACTTAGAATGAAAATGGGCAGTTATCAAGCAATTTTTGGGGTTGGGAGGGGAGGCATAATCAACTGTTTAGACACCATTCTGCCTGTTTTTTAAAGGCCTAAAGTAACTTTTTTTAAAAAATCAGATGCCATTTACCCCCCATTACCCAAATAGCCTGTAATTCATCCATCATGCTTCCCAGAGGCCATTTGCATGCCAAAAATAAACTGCTGTTGAAGGGGTTCACCTCTGGAGCCTCTTATAGAAGGTGAAAATGCCCCCCCCAATGCTAAGGTCATCTGTTCCTGCTTTGTACTAAAATCTTCCCAGATTTGTTGCTCTCTGGATAATCTATTCATGATCTCCTGAGATATAAAAATCTCCCTGCATGTATTAATCTAGCACACCAACGAAAGGACCCAGTGTGCTGAGATACTAGTTTGCTAGATGCAGAGATAACTGCGTTTTTCGATTTTTTTTTTTTAGTAATATGTAGGGGTGTCCAGGAAAATGCATTCACCATTGCAGTCTGAAGTGACATGGATTTGATGGCTCATTTTATTATTATTTTTAAATTACCTCCTTTTGCATAACATGTAGGTTGTCTCTAAGGAAACATTTTCGATCCGTTCTTTTTCTTCTTTCCTCTTTCCCCCAGCTATGAGCTGCCTTATATGCATGTTAATTAGGATGCTAAAACTAGAAATTTACTAATGTGCGTCAGCAAGTCTATAATGATGAGACACATGATTGCGACAAAGCCCTCTTTAATTGTTCAGTTGAAAGCTGTCTTTGACATTTTAATGCGGACTCCAGAACTGATGGTTCACAGGCTTTGTGTCTAGCTAGTGGGACGTGGTGGCGCTGTGGGTTAAACCGCAGAAGCCTCTGGGCTGCAGGGTCAGAAGACCAGCCATCGTAAGATCGAATCCACATGACGGAGGGAGCTCCCATCGCTCGTTCCAGCTCCTGCCAACCTAGCCGTCTGAAAGCATGTAAAAATGCAAGTAGATAAATAGGTACCACCTCGGTGGGAAGGTCACGGCGTTCCGTGTCTAGTCGTGCTGGCCACGTGACCACGGAAACTGTCTTCGGACAAGCGCTGGCTCTACGGCTTGGGAACGGGGATGAGCACTGCCCCTAGAGTCGAACACGACTGGACTAAATGTCAAGGGGAACCTTTACCTTTACCTAAAAGACATACAGGCAGTCTTTGTCCAAGTTCAGACTATAATAATAATCATGTGCAATCAAGTTAATTCTGGCTTATGGTGGCCCTTTTAAGGGTTTCCTAGGTAGAGAATACACAGAAGTGGTTTACCATTCTCTTTTTCTGGGGGTGCCTTGGGACTGTGCAGCTTGCCCAAGGCCACACAGACTGGCTTTTCTTGCAGGAGGTCCAGTAGGAAATTGAACTCCCAACCTCAGACTCCACGGCCAAATACCTAAATCCTCTGAGCTATATGAACCAAATTACTCAGTGACCGTTTTTACAAGTGGCAGGCTAGGGGAGTGAAATTTTTTTCAGTGTCCATTTCATTGCATTTAAAAAAAAACATCTCCATTGTCATCTTTTTCCCCTCGACTATTGGATTGGAAGACTTTGTAGTTTTCTGCATGGATGCTGGTGCACATTTTATGTACACATTTTCCCAAATGTGCACATTAACTCACTTTAAACTGAATTGTGCATTTTTTCCTGTTGACTAAACCATATCTGTACATGTTTTTCCCCATTTTTGACCACTTGCATTTTAAAATGTGAACCGTTTTCAGGGCATGCTTTATTTCTCCAAAGGCACCCCATTAGCCTTGCAGATGGGCAAACACTCAAGGCAAAGTATGTTTGCTTTCCTGAGTCAAAGGAGGGATGGGAGAGGTTCCTTGCGTCAGATCAGCTGGATTCACTGACACTGTTTTCCATCCTGATCCGAGAGCAAACAGAATTGCCCAGCTGAGTAGGCTGCAGATTCTTTTAAAGTTGTCCTAGAATGAGATCAGTGTTTCAGACAGTTTCTTGGTTCTGCAAAGGGGAAGGGAGATTTCTTTGTCCAAGTGATGTAGAAGGAGCTCCTGTAACAAGATAGAATCTGTGTCCACAAAAGTCCCAGGAGGGTGCCTGCTGTTTTGTAACCAAGTGTTTCTACACCCATACAGTAAGTGGGCAGCTTGTGGTAGGACCCAAAGAATATAATTTCTTTCTATTCCCTCTTGCAGCTGGATTGCCAGGTTACAATTTATACACTGTAGGCCGCCCCCCCCCCTTACCTTCGGTATCGGTATCCACTGATTCACTTACACGTGGCGTAAAAATACAGTGGTGGCCCGCTAGACGATTACCTTGCAAAACGACGAATCCGCATGATGATGAGTTTTTGCGATCGCTATAGCACTTTGGAAAACAGTTTCTCTTCCATCTCAAGTCTTCTCTCGCTCATTTCCAGGGAACAAATAAAAAGAGTGAAAGATTCGGAAGATGTCCCCATGGTGCTCGTAGGAAATAAATGTGACCTGCCTTCCAGAACCGTAGACACAAAGCAAGCACAGGATTTAGCAAGAAGTTATGGAATCCCTTTCATCGAAACCTCTGCAAAAACGAGACAGGTAACACAAGTGTAACTCTGTGTGGATGCTGGTGCATGCGTGTGCTGCTTATCTGAGACAAGGAACAGAACTTTTCTGCATTAATAGTTGGTGTTTCACAGAATTCCTAGTAAAGGCAACTGGAGATTTATCCCTCTGAATCCACCTGCCATTTCCCAAGTGAGAATAGACCTATGGATTCAGTTTCTCAATGGCGAGTCTCCACTTACGTAAACACCATTTATAATAATACAGTAGTATTCTTAGAACGGCAGAGCTGGAAGGAATCCTGTGGATTTTTGAGTCCAACCCCTATCAGGGAGGCACAGTGGGGAATCAAACTCCCAACCTCTAGCTCTGCAACCAGATGGTTAAACTACTAAGCTGTCCAAGGGTTTACCCTAGTTAAGGCTACCTAGTGGTTTCATTCTATGAGTTAGGGTTTGGCTAGAGCAGACTGGACCAGCCTAAATAGAGTCACTCAATGTCATGTAGAGGTCTGGTACGCCATTTGGTGCAGTCCTTTTAGACACCTGGCATATACACCTCCACCTATTTGAACCACCTCCCTTAAGAAATGTCCTCCTGTCTCTTTTTGGGAAAAAGCTTCCAGTTTTTCATTTTCTCCCCTAAGAGTTAAAGTGCATCGGTGTTCCCCTAATAATCTTTGGGGGGAGAAATTGCTCCCTCCCTCTCCCTGCTCCGTGGAGAAATTAAAGAACTTTTAAAAATGTCCTATCTGGTTTCAGTTTCCCAATATCACTACGCTTAGCCACTTAATGATGGTGGGAAATTGAAAACTTCCTTTGCTTCTGAGGGACAGAGGAAGTTTTCAATTTCTCTTCGTTAAATTGAAACCAGATGGGAAATTTAAAGCAGCGAGCTCTGCTTTTGTTCAGTACAAGTGGATCCTGCGTGTTCTAAAAGTGAACCAAAACGGAGTGATCCCACCCATACCAAAAAGAGTGTGGCCCCTAACAGAGAGCCAGAAAGGGGTGGGTAGGAAAATTCTGGGAATGGCCTGGTTCGCACTGTCCCTTAAGTAGTTTGTTCCCCAGCAAAAGAAGTGAACCAGCCTGTCTCCAAGACAGACAGACAGCAGGACAAATACCTATGGAGAAAGGTTCCTGCTAAGCTGGGGCAGAGCCGCGCACGCACAAGAGGAGGAGCCCTGCCCAGTAGGGCTGAAAATTAAGAGGGTGTGTTGCTGTGGAGTCCCCCTGTTTGTCTGTTGCAGCAAAAACAGCACCGTAAAGCCCTTCCCTTGTTTAAATGGCTGCCTATGGTCTATCCACCCGATGATACAAACCTGCAGTTGATGAAAACTGATCCAGAATGCAACTGCATTAGTCTTTAAGGTGCTAGTGGACGCTTTGCAAATCTGTGGAGATATTCTTTCACTGAGATAGCTGAGATGCAGTGGGTAAAGCTTAGTTCCATTTTACTTGACTTGCTCAGCCAGTTATTATACCTAAGATGGCCACCACCCTGGGGGGGGGGTCACTTTACTGCCTGTGGGGAAGCCTATAGGAACAACAAAAGAGGGATGGTACAGCTTTTTCCAGACTGCCTGCAAGTAGAAGACTAGATTTTGGGCGGGAAACCATGGTGCTTTTGCTTCTTCCCTGACAAGCTACCTTTCTATTTATAGTGATTTTTTGTTTGTTTTAAGTACAAGGTCAAAAGAGATTTAGGACATCCTTTTTTTTTTTTGCAGCATAGTACAATGTAGTTTAGTCCAGGGACTGTTCTGTCTCCTGGTCTATGGTGAGTCCAGCATCCCTTTTTCTGGGTCTGATTGCAATGTTGCATGAGCCATCAGTAAAACACTCTGTATAAAGAAGCTCACAGCTTCCAGAAATAAAATATAAAATAAAATGTCCGAGACGGTATATAGCTGCGCACAAATTCTTCAGGCAAAATAGAGACGATAATGCCCATGTTGCTATATTTTATTGCCACAGACAAACATATTTTGCCCTAAGAATAGCACCTATGTGTTTCTCCATCTCTGGGCATATGATTTGGTGCTCCAAGCATCAATTCTTTAACAACGAATAGGAAAGCAGGGTGTATTCTTCGAATAGGAAAGCAGTATTCTTCTCTTCAAATTCAGACTCAGCCCAGAAATGTTTGCTATTATTATTAGCGTTCTTCTTGTCTGAATGACAGCTTTCATAAGGATTCCTGGGGGGTTGCAGACCAAACGAGTAAGATTTTCAAGCTGGGATCCAGACGTCTATTGGGTTTGGAGGTCTGTGTTGCAGCCCTGGGGTCTTCTTTTCGTCTTCCGAAGAGCTGAAAGAATGGTTTGGCATCCGTTCCCTTCAACATCTGCTCTAAACCAAGAGGCAAGACAGGTCTTGGCGTTAGCTTTTGTCAGAGTTATTTTTAGGAATTTCCATAATAGCAAGAGTGATCTGGGCGTTTATCTCCAGCTAGCTGGACGGTGAGTAGGTTCTAGAGAAGATTTAAGTTTTTCACAGTAGCCGTGACACTCAAGAAGCACAAGAACATGCTGAGTAATACTGGTATTGTAAACTCTGTGTGTGGGATCACTTAAATGTTAGCTCTTCATAAGTTTATAGAAGCAGATATGGAAACGGCCGTGAGAGAACAGTAGCAACCTCAGCTTTGGAACAGCTCTTAATCTCTCTCGCTTTCCTAGACTCTAATTATCTCGCCTTGACAGAAAACCCTTTTTCATTTCACTTCCTGTATTTTTCTTCGCTGACATGAAATCATCCTGAAATGATTTTCAATTAGAACATACTGGGAATGTGTCCAAGATATGTGTAAGAATATAGAGCCGGATCTCTGAGTACAGAATTTGAATCATGAGAACTGAGAAAACCGTGTCATCCTCATAGTTTTCTGAACAGTCTTGAAAATCTAGGGATTGCGGTTTTATTTGAAATGAAAGACTCCACAAGGGAGGTTACAGGGAATTCCTCCTACAGCTGATAGACTCATGATCCAGAAAGAAGGATTTGCAAACAGACCGAGTCTCTCCTTCCCTTCTCCTCCAAATTCTGTGCTTCTCTGACAGTCCGTCCAGAAAGGGTAGAAATATATCCTTTCATTTGTATTCCTGCCTTGAGCCAGGAGGTTGGACTCAATGGTCTTATAAGCCCATTCCAACTTCGTTATTCCATGATTCTATCCACAAAATTCACTGAGATGCTGCTTTTTGCCTTGGGTCCTTTCGAGGAGAAAGGCAGGGGAAAATATTTTAAATAAATACATTTGGAAGTCTAAGATAACCATCCAACATTTGGCTGTTTTTTAAAAAAAGAACCTTGATCCCAACCGTTCCGACTTTTGCCAGGAATGTTTCCATTCACAAGAATTTTCCTGCTTCACTTCAGTGGGAAGGAAACAAAAAAGAATGTTTGTATGGCATCAAAAGATCCCATTTGCTCAGCAGCTTCAGATATCTACTGGGGTTTTTGTAGATCTGCTTTGAATACCCATGCTTTTCCTCTTTAGTAGAAGAAGGAGGGCAAAAAGCTCTCAAAAATGTGGAAAAGATGCATATAAAGAAAAGTATTTGTTTCTTGTAGGAGTTGATAAAGTTCAGCCCTGGGGCTTGTATTGAAGAACGTTTAGCTGACCCTTCCACCCATCCAGATGTGTCTCACCATTTTGACATTGAGCCCAATATCTGCGAACAACCAATTAACATGGATGGATGGATGGATGGATGGATGGATGGATGGATGGA